GAGGTGTCGAGGTGTCGAGGTGTCGAGGTGGATGTGGTGGGAGCAAGATATGAAGGAGGCTTCAACGAGAAAGAGAGAGAGAGAGAGGAGCAGAGCAGACCCTGAACCCGAAGAAAAAAAAGCGCCGCGCTCCACTCCACCTCTCCACATCGCCTCTCTACGCGTCTCTCCCTCTGCTCAGCCGCCCCAGCGCAGTCCAAGAGTAGTTACGCGTCGGCCCTCATCCGCTGCGGCTGACTGAGGCGCTGTCGGAGAGCCCGCTGCTCGGCCCCAAATCGGCACCAGAGCAGAGTCGGAGCGCGGCCCGAAAAAAGTGTTGGACTCGCTGCGACGGACGACTGCGCCCAAAATCGCACTTTGCCATCCTCTCTTCGGCTCAGCTGCTCCACCATCTCTCTTGCGGCTTCCGCATTCTGCTTTGCGAGGAGAACATCGTCTTCAGCTACCACCACGAGGTACTTCAGCATGGCACTTTTAGTCTCGCACGCTTGATGGCACATGCGGCATGGCTCCACCACCTTTGCGCTCCGGCGGCGCCAATGGCGGCATCGACGAGGATGAGGACGAGTTCGACTTGCTCTTCGACGATCAGGCGCTCCTTGATCCTGAGCTCGAGGAGAGCCTCGCGCAGGCAGAGGCCACTTATACCGCCTCCCAGGCCGTCCAGCCCGCAGCACCCGCTGCTGCCTCCTCGTTCCGCCTCTCCACCGATCCCGCCCCTCGCTCTTCCAACCGCAGAGGCGCCTTCGTACCTCCCGCTGCAAAGAAGCCGCGCCTCGATCCGGGCCCTTCCAGGCTCGGCAACGCGCATCGCCTCGCAAAACCCTCATTGCTGGCCGAACCGGGTCCGGACCAGGTCATCGTCCGCGACCTCCGAGAAGATGAAGACTTTGGGGACAAGGACGACGATCAGTGGTGGGCAACCAACAATGCGCTCGACCAGGTCGAAGAGGAGGCGATCCGCATGTCTCAGCACATGCCCACCACGCAACCCAACGGCACCGATCGCAACCCCGACGCACGAGATGCAAGATCAAATCCAGACCCGTCGCGGCGTGCCACAACCAGCAAAGCGGCACAAACTGCATCCAAGGAGCCGCCAGATACAAGCCGCGGTGCGTCAGGCAACCACGCGTCCGCGAACATCGACACCGACGAGCTCGATCAGCTTCGAGCCGAGATCGAGCGACTCCGCGCCGCACAGCGCGCCCAGGACGAGATGGTGGACAAGCTCAGGCAGGATGCCTACCGCAAGGCTGGCGAGGTGGCCGTCGTGCGTCAGAATCTCACCAAGCTCAACCAGGAAAACGCCAAGCTGCGCGAGCGCGAGGTGCAGCGCGAGCACGAGCATCGCGCCTCGCTCGAACGGCTCCAAAAGGACCAGGAGAAACGCCTGCAGCGCCTCGAGACCGAGACCGCCTTCCGCAGAGTAGAACAGGACACCAGCCGTCGCATCTGGCCCTCGAGCGTGGCTCGTCTGCCGCCTGTCGGTCTGCGCGACATGGACAGAAGGCAGGAGAGCCAGGTCAGAGCCGGCCTCACCACCCCGACCAAGGCCAACCGATACGGGGTACGCGGCAGTGGAAGCTCAGGCAACCGTCAACGATTCGTAGACACGCCAGGCAACCGCCAAGAACCATCCACACCCACACGCTCAGCAGTCAAGCCGGCTCCACACTTTCCTCGGCCTACAACGGCCGCAGGCTCGGCGTCCAAGAGCAAGCCCTTCCGCGGCCTGCAGAACTCGTTTGCCGACTTTGCACCCGTCCAGGAGAAGATCCGCCAGCACAAAAGCTCGCCTACGAAACCAGGCAGAGCAGAAACTTTGGCTCCAGCCGATTGGGACGCAGACCAGACCGTACCAAACGACATGCACGACGATCAAGATGTCGCCATGGCAGACGGCGACCGTTCATCGCCGCAAGCAAGGCCGACTTCGAGACCACGACGCTCTTCCGACTCGCAACCAGCCGGTACAGATGCATCGCGCCACAACGAGTACCGCTACCTCGCCGCCGTGTCCGAGATTCTGCACCAACGCACCACCATCGTCTCGCTGCTGCTCAGCCACGAATCTCCCCCGGCTGCGGCTCCCGCTACGTACCCCGCCAGTGCCTTCAACACCTCAGCCTCTGGTCCGTCAACCCAGGCGCAAGAGACACTGCGAGCTTCAGGCACGCTCAGCCGTCTCATTTCGGCCGACCTGGTGCGCGACTGTCCCCAGGCGGTGGTGTTTCGGTACCGACGTGCTGTCGAGACGCTGCTCACGCACATGAGCCGCGCGACGGTCATGGAGCCCGAGGAGCGCGAGGATGCGCTGCGGCTGCTGTGGCCGGGCGACGAGCAGGCCGATGCGGACGAGATGGACTTTGCCTTTGCCACGATGCATCTGTCGCATGCGGTGGCGTCGGCGCTCATGGCCATGGCAGGCATCTTGCTGCGGCTGTGCCAGACGGACCTGCTCACCGACGTGCTGCGCCTCGTGTCGTGCCTGATCGCCATCCTGCCCCGCTTCTGGATGGATCTCGAATGTCTCCAGCCCGACCGGCAGGCGGATCAGGACGAAATCGTCTTTTTGCGCGGACCGCCGGCGGACAGCGACCAGGAGGCGCGGAAATTGTCGACTCCCATTCAGCTTCGGGAGATACTCGCGCAGAGCATCAACGACTGTCGGCCTCAGGTGGTCGCAGATACGGGGGATGCCTCGAGTCGCCTTGCGGATGGAGCGACGCGCAAGGGGTCTGGAGATTGGACGCTGTCGTCCGAGGCGAGAGAAGACCTGCTGCAGGCGGTGGTGGGCGTGTTGGAGGCCATGTCGCAGTGCACGGACACGAGCAATCTGGCGATTGTGCATCCCCTGCGCGTGCTGCAGCGCCACGGTGCGCTGCACAAGCTGCTGCACCCGGAGCGGCCGAGCTGGCTGATCCTCCGCGTAGTGCGCATGCTGAGTTTGGCCGTGTCGGACGCGCCTTTGATCCACGAGTGTCTGGCGTCCAAGGCCGAGAGTGACAGCAGTGGGCGAGGCAATGGACCGGTGTCGACGCGCAGCGCACGGTTTCCCGTGCTCGAGGTGCTGGTCAAGCATCTGGTTGACCGACGCTTCGACCTGCCCGAGTGCGAGTGGCACCGGCTGCACAGCGGCATCCTCACTCTGCTCACGCAGGCGGCGCTGCATTCGGCCGACACGGCGGTAGTGCTCGCCGACAGCGCGCCACTGCTCGCGGCGCTCATCCGGTGTCTGTCGCTCGACGCCGACTTGGTCTGGCTCCACAGCAGGCCGACGTTCATGCTGCCCCTGCGGCTGGCCAAGTTCCGCCCTGCGAGCAGCGGTAAGGCGCGCTTGGTGGCGGATGCGTCGGGTGCGGATCTGGTGCAGGCGACCGAGCGTATCGTGATGGACACGCGCCTGCTCAATCTGCTGTACAACTATCCGCTCCCCATCGCCAACGATCATGCGCACCGCTTTGACGGCGCAGCAGGCCCCGCCGCGCACGAACGTATGGGCCCCAT